CAGTTCAAAGTTATCAAATCAAAAACAATACATAAAAAATACATAAAAAGCAAAACATTTCATCCACATGTTAAAAAGAAAATTGTTCTAAAATATATGTATTCTGTATTTGACAAACAGTTCATTCGACAAATGAAAACTCACTGGAATATGTTTCAGCTATTAGAACAGAATGATAGAGTTTTTATAATACTGGTTTAAAAACGCACTTCAAAGACTGCAGTGTTTGAAGATGTAGATTCTCAGGAGGCGACAGTACTGTTGACTTCTCCCTCCACTGGACACTAACTAACTATTTAAGTTGATTTGCATGATAGCTATTCATAAAGGGTGTTTTTTTTTTTTACTTTTCATATAATACAATGAGGCAGTTCATATTTGTCTCAGTGAATCATCAATTTTTGACAGACACCTGTACAAAATACTTGGACAAAAGCCAGCTAAGATTTTCTGTTATCTTGCATGTTTTATGAATCTATTCACGTCTAAATGCAGCACTTTTTTTTTGCAATGAGGCATTTGTTTTTATACTAAAATATCTGAATTACTTTGAATAAAGCTGGAAATTATGTCCCTTAAAATAATTAAACAAATAAGGCACCAATGTTTTTGTAAGATATTTACATCTTTTAAGAACATTCGGTAGACTGATTCCCCACTGTTGGTTCAACCCCAAATTATGACAATGCATATTTATATTGAAACAAACTATGATAAAGGGAATTATATTATATAACAAAGGGCAAGGTCACCAGAGTTCAACTATGTTTTGATGTTTGGTTCATATACAGTACGCCCAATGCGTAAATACATATTGTTTTTTACAGCAAGGGCAAATGAGATTCAAACAGATAACATGCAACTTCTTTTGGAATGTCCTTATCAATATTCCAATAACCCCCATCAACTTCCACCAGACTATTGAAGTGGCTACAGATAAGATTCATACAATGATTTACAACTTCCTTTGTATAGTCACAACAATGTTGCAATATAAAAACAGGCAACAACTTAGTCATAGTATGTACCTAGTCAAAAATTAATTATTTCAAAATCATGTGGTGCCAGGGAAGTAAAAATGGTATGTTTTCAAAACTACACTGAGATGCAATGAAGTTATTATTATTAGTCCCCGTTCGGACGAAGTCCGAAAACGGGGACTTATAATTCGGTCTCCGTGTGTCCGTGCGTTCGTGCGTCCGTCCGGAGTCATATCTCAGAATCTTTTGGACCGATTCCGTTCATTCTTTGCATGTGCCTCGTACTTTATGTGGGACATATGCACATGCAGTGGTTTAGCGATTCGATTCAAAATGGCCGACTGGCAGCCATCTTTTTTTTTGAAAATGTTGTATTTTGGACATGCTTTGTCAGTTTTCATTCAAACTTGGTACATAGATTATACATGTTAGGATACATGTCCATGATGATTTATTTAACAATCGGATCAAAGATGGCCGACTGGCAGCCATCTTGTTTTTTGAAAATGTCGTATTTTTTACATGCTTTGTCAGTTTTCATTCAAATTTAGTACATAGATCATACATGTTAGGATACATGTCCCCGACCATCCGTGAGTTCCTGAGTCTGTCCGTCCGTGTGTCCGTCTGTCCGTGCGTCCGTGCGTCAGTCTATCCAACGTCATATTTCAGAATCCTGTGGACCGATTCCATTCATTCTTTGCATGTGCCTAGTACCTTATGTGGGACATATGCACATGCAGTGGTTTAGCGATTCGATTCAAAATGGCCGACTGGCAGCCATCTTGTTTTTTGAAAATGTTGTATTTTGGACATGCTTTGTCAGTTGTCATTCAAACTTGGTACATAGATTATACATGTTAGGATACATGTCCATGACGATTTATTTTGCAATTGGATCAAAGATGGTCGACTGGCAGGCATCTTGTTTTTGTTTTTTTATGCGGTATCTTGGACATGCTCTGTCAGTTTTCATTCAAATTTGGCACATACCAGTGTAGGAAATTCCTGCCCGTCCGCACGCCCGAGACGGGTAATTTTCGTATCGGACTGGTTGAATTTCAAACTTCCCTGTCCGGTGGTCGGGTAATATGTTACCACATTCTTCCGCCGAAATTAAAATAAAAACAAGCTACCATTCTTTATATGTGCTCTAAACATTTTAAACAGAAACGTGATCATATATATTGCATTGCCGTCGCACATCGCGACTTGCCGACACGCATTCTCAACCCACAACACGGAATCCATTGACTTATTAACATAATAATAGGTACGTGACCTCGGGTCAGGTCCTATCTCCCATGGTGCAGTGACACTTCCGGTGACCCCTGACCAGTTCTATCGTTGAGTAGTTTGTTTACAAAGTTTTCATTTCGCGTACAACATGTATCGTTTTTTGGGGATACCCTCCAACAAAGAAACAGAAGTCGAGCATCGATAGAATTGCGGCAAATAAGGAGTATGACCAGTCAAAACGTACTCGCAAAATCGTTCCAAGCTGGAAGACGGAGTTCAAAGAATGGCTGGTCACCGATGACACCGGTAATCATGCGGTGTATTGCCGTATCTGCCGGGCTATTTACGGGCCGTTATCAAACCGCAAAATACCAGACAAACTCCGTAAGTACGGAAAGGGATCGTTTGTAACCGG